GGGGTGTCTGTGAGGCAGGGTCTGGGTTGCCCCCCTCGGGTGGGTGTGATGTTGGGCTGAGGGACGGGGGGGACGGAATTTGAATGGCGGTTTTCGGACCGCCCGGCCGCCCCTCAGCCGCTCGGGGCGGGGAGGTGCCTGGTAACGAACGGCTCCGGTGGAGGTGGCGGCCGAATGGAATGAATCCCCGGTTTCCAGGGGTCGGGAGGTGGGTTGTGAGAGGGGTGGGGAGGTGGCAAAAGCGCCTTCAGGTCATTCGTGTCTCTGTGAACGTACCAAGCGCAGAGTGGTTGTGCATTTTCCAAGGGGATTTTTATTGGACAATTATTAAATACTGCTTACATGTTGAAATCACTTTATTTTTTCCCAAAGTACATAACCTCCGCCTTCGGGGAGACCTCATAATAGCCTTCCAATGTCTGAAGGGGCTACAGGAGCCCAAAGTACATAACCTTCGCCTTCGGGGAGACCTCATAACAGCCTTCCAGTGTCTGAAGGGAGCTACAGGAGAACTGGGGAGGGACTCTTTGTCAGGAAGTGCAGTGACAGGACAAGGGGTAACGGTTTTAAATGGGAAGAGGGGAGATTTAGATTAGATACCAGAAAGAAATTCTTCCCTGTGAGACACTGGAGTAGGGATTTGCCCAGAGAAGCTGTGGCTGCCCCATCCCTGGAGGGGTTCAAGGCCAGGCTGGATGGGGCTTGGAGCAACCTGGTCTGGTGGGAGGTGTCCATGCCCATGGCAGGGGGGTTGGAACTGGATGATCTTTAAGGTCCCTTCCAACCCAAACCATTCTACGATAAAGTGCAATGATAGACTTAACAGGTAACATATAGGGCGTTTCTGAGGAAGGAACTGTAAAATAAGTTGACGTGATCCTTCTGTTTTATGATTCATTATTTCCAACATGAATAACCTAGAACGTTTCAGTAACATTCCATAGATTCAGAAATAATACTCTGGAAAAAGCAAAGAGATGTTTAAAATGGAGTGGTATGTGTATGCATGCCTGTACCACAAACAGTAATTGAGGTTGGTGCAGTATTAGAATTAAGCTACACAAACAGAATGTCTTTCTAGAACTATATAAATGGAAAAGTTTGATGATATTAATATCAGAATAGATTTTGGGTATAGAAGCCCTTATTTGGTTGATGTTTAAAAATTTGATTGACATTAGCACATTTCTTGGTGGGACAGTAAATTGGAAGTAAAGTGAAAATGTATTTCTCATGTCCTGGGCAATGGAGCTGAAATAGCACACAGTTTTATTTTAGTACCTGAGTGACAATTCTTTAACTTATTATTTTAGTGTTTGGTTTCAGGTGTTTCATTAGTCAGTTTTTAAATTATAAACATTTCTCTTGTAATTTTAAATTTGATTAATAAGTAGCCTACAGCAACCCGATGTGTGCTACTAGGAGACGGGAAAACAGGAATAGGAAACACAGTTCTCTGACGAGTTTCATTTGGCCTGTTTTTATGCTGCCTTGAGGAGAAACGGCTCTCCTCTCCCGTTGGTTACGTGTTCCCAGCCCTGCTCCATCTGTGCCAACCCCGCTGTCTGAGTAGCGGTGTAAGAAAATAGGCTTAGAAGTTCACCTGGTTAAAGACTCACTTAGCAAAAAAGGAAAATAAAATTTTTCAGAAAGATCAGTTTCCTCAGTTGGTTTAATGTGCAGTATCATTAATTTCTTGGCACAAATAAGGGTAAAGAAATATGTAGGTGAGGCCTTGGTTTTAGAACTGTTACTTAGCAAGACTGGGGGAACTGCCTTTTCCACATGTGGAGCAGGCAAGCAGCAGGTGAGATTTTTGTCAAAATATATGGAGCTTGAAACCATTGTTTTATTTTTCAGTGTAAGGTAGCTGAAAACCTTTACAAAACATTTCCATTTAAATAAAATGAGATGCTGAGGTAATGTTGATGCACTAGTTGATAGAATCATAGAATCACAGAATCGTCTAGGTTGGAAGAGACCCTTGGGATCATCGAGCCCAACCATCTCCCCTACTCTACAAAGCCCTCCCCTACACCATGTCCCTCAGCACTGCATCTAAACGGCCCTTAAACACAGCCAGGGATGGGGACTCCCCCCCCCCCCTGGGCAGCCTGTTCCAATGCCCGACCACTCTTTCGGTGAAAAATTCTTCCCTAATGTTCAATCTAAACCTCCCCTGTTGGAGCTTGAAGCCGTTCCCTCTCGTTCTGTCACTAATTACCTGTGAGAAGAGACCAGCACCAACCTCTCTACAGTGTCCTTTCACGTAGTTGTAGAGAGTGATGAGGTCTCCCCTCAGCCTCCTCTTCCTCATACTGAACAGCCCCAGCTCCTTCAGCCGCTCTTCATATGATTTGTCTTCTAGGCCCTTCACCAGCTTCGTTGCCCTCCTCTGCACTCGCTCCAGCACCTCCAGATCTCTCTTGGATTGAGGTGCCCAAAACTGGACACAACACTCCAGGTGTGGCCTCCCCAGTGCTGAGTACAGGGGGACAATCACCTCCCTGCTTCTGCTGGTCACACTATTTTTGATACAAGCCAGGATGCCATTGGCTTTCTTGCCCCCCTGGGCACACGCCGGCTCATATTCAGCCGTTTGGCAACTAGAGCCCCCAGGTCTCTTTCTTCCAGGCAGCTCCAGCCACACTTCCCCAAGCCTGTAGCATTGTAGCGTTGATTCTAGCCTTTAACTTCCCTGTTAAATTTTCTAATATAAATCTAGTTGTGGGGTTTTTTTTTAATCATTTTCTAGAATAGAAATATCATTTTATCATTTTTCTAGAATAGAAAGTGATAAAAGACTTCAGAGCTCTTACTTGGCTCGGATGATGCATAGCTTGGACTTTGCCAGGGTGTGTATTAGCACAGTTTCTTCTTTAATTGTGCTTCTAAATTTGTACAGCGGACAGCAGCGTAGTGCTTGATTATCTCTACTAGCTTTAATGAACTAGGTTGACTACTGGAGAAGTTCAGTTATAACTGCCTGGGGCTCCAAGGGAACTAATTTACTCCCCAGATAACATGTGAAAATAGATTGGGTGGAGCTCTGGGCTGCTGCGTCTTGGCAGCTTCTGGTATATAAAGTAGCTCAGTTAAAAGTAGTGTCAGTATCACTTTATTATACTGCTTTGTGTGATGAATACACATTCCAAGTGGCAGTGCTGTGAGTTTTCTGTATGCACTTACGCTGCATCCACCTTTTTCATAGCTAGATGATTTTTTTACACTAAGGGTACTTAGTCCTGTGTTTTCATATCACTTTGGCTTTTAACTTCAAAGCTTACTTTGAAGTAACTTATTTTCAAAAAGCAGTACTGTTCATTGAATCAAATAGCAGGACCTGCTGGTTTATTTATTTGCTTATTTTTTTTTTTTTTTTGGTCACAAATGCTGTATGGAGTTGTGTTGACTGAGGTACATACATTTATGTATACAGAGCTCAGTGTGAACTCACAGTCCAGTTCTATGGTGCTTAAGGCTTTTTGAATTATCTGGGTGTCCTTAAGCAAGTGCAGAATCTCTTTAGAGCTGGGGTAAGCACCTATGCAAAAGTATAATGTGTTTATTGTAGTGTTTATAAGGCATAAAGTCTTTATTTAACACTTTCTTAAGCAAAAGTGTTAAAAAAATTGCTATACGGTTTTCCAAAGCTAAGCCTAAATTTAGTCTTCAAAATCCATGTAGATTTTTAATAAGAAAACAGCATTCAAAAGCCACCACTGTCTTTAACCGCGGCATTTCACTTACATCAGCATACTTGTTATTTTCTTAAGAATCTTGAATGAATTCAATAACAGAACATTGCGTATTTGTAAGTACCATCAGATACTTGGTATGAGTTGAAGTACTAATTATTTTGAGAGGCAACATTTGGAGAACTACAAGTGTTTGTAAATGGGTAGGAATGAAAGCTGTAGTGAAATAAAGGCTCTTGCATTGTGCAGCATGGTTTCTTGTTGTATGTAGCATCACAGAAATTCAGTTGCTCTTTAAAAAAAAAAAAAAAAAAGCACCAAAAAACCCAAATGGGGTGTGGTGTCTTGAAATAGATTCCTGTGGAGACCAAATGCAGATTCCTGAAATAGGCTATTAAGTGGTTGAAGAAGCATTAGTCAATAGAAATATGGAGAATATTTAATCTTTGGTAATGAGGTTACAGGGATATGTAGAGAGGTATGTATATAGATAAGTAGTCCCTGTAAGCTTTTTGCCTATATGCTTTCTGGAATTTTCTATATTTTAAGAAAGGAATAGAAACTGATGAGGTACTTCGCCCTTGCTGCTCTGAATTTGCTGATATGTTTTCAGCATATCAAGATTCCAGTTAATTGAGATGATTTCAGTTATTTTCTGGTGTGTATCCAGAGAGATTTCTTAAATTTAAGAAACAACTTTACTGATGCTACCATTTTATTTCCGTATTTCTTGTATAAATTGTCAGTAAAGCTGATTAAGAAACCCTAGAGAGAACAATAATAGGACATGAACTATCCGTATTTAGATCAAATAATTGTGCTTACTGTAGTTCTAAACAGAAGGCAAAGAGAGTATACCAAGTGATTTTGAATAGCCAATATAAGTAGTATTTTTACCTGTCAAGTGATTGAGGAGGAAAATAAACAATTTTAATAGTGAGAGAGAGATTTATTGGAATTGTTGTTGATGCATGGAAAGTTACTTACTGGATCAATTAAAATAAAGCCACTCTCACTGAAAAGAAAAGGATTTGTTGGTATTATTGAAATATGTATTTGAAGTTATTTTAATATGTAGATATAATGAATTTCTAAATGTATTTATTAATATTTGTTATTAATAATTGAATGCTTGTATTTTTAGGTAAAATTTGGAAATACAACATTTAAGACAGATGTGTATCCCAAATCACTTAACCCTCAATGGAATTCTGAATGGTTCAAGTTTGAAGTAAGTATTTTTTAAGAGTTTCCCTATATCTTTATAGACACTCTGGTTTAGATGCCCTTAATGAAATAATTTCATTTCGGGCAGAAAATGAGTTTTGAGGAGTGAAGTGTATTTCTGTTTAAATACACATGAAGCCTTTTCAGCAAACCTATCTACAATTAGACCTTGTTTGCTAAAGATGTCTCATTGGCTTATTAGGAGTGTTTGTAAAGATAAAAGCTTGCCAGATTGGATCCAACTCAAGTGTTATTCTGGGTAATACTGAAAAAGACAAGACAGAGGTGAAAATGGGGGGAAAACAGCTTTATGGATTAGGCTTTCAGATACCAGTATGGGTATGCTTGTATTTTTTTAAAGGTGTACTTTTGAGTAAGGAAAGTTAATTGGCATTTGAAATGTTACTTTGAGTTGCAGAAATAATGCATTTGACAAAGAAGGAAATGGAGAATTCCTATGATGAAATTTCAAAATAAAGAGCTTGGACAACAATTATCAGACACTTTCTTTTCCCATTTCTTTATGTAATTATGAGGGCACTCAGCATTTTCCTATAATTGCTTCTTGGATCTGATTCATTGATGTCCTTTGACATTATGCCCTGAACAAGTGTTTACTTTTTTTTTTTTGTTACTGCATTTTTATTAGTTAAAAAAAAAAAAAAGATATTTAGAATAAAGTAACTGTTAAAATACTTCATATAGTACTGGTTCATTTATAGTGTGCTAAGATAATATCACAACATAAATGTGGTTGTAAATATATGTATGTGTAATGAGTGATTTAATAGCTGGTGATGATAGAGAAATTTTAGAGCAAATATAAAATAGGTTAGGCAGAGTATTAATCAACACAGAATGCTTGATTAAGAGCGTCTCTTGATCAGCAATCCATGTTTACTAAGAAAGTAGTGCTGTGGTGTTGAAATTCAAGGGGTCGTTTTTGGGGGGAAGGGAAAGAGCTGATCTGTGTGGAGGGTTAGCTTTGTTCACACAGAAATAGGTTTCTTGACAATAACAGAAGTTTTAAAATTCTATCTTTTTGCATGGAAAAATGGACTTGGGAAGGAAAAGAGCCAAACAGGAACATTGCGGGGAAAAAAACCCCAAGTAATTCCACATTTCAAAGAGTGAAAAAAACACTAACTGCTTAAGACATTGTAAGTGTGTGTGTAGTTTGATCTTCTCGCAGGACTACGTGTTATAATTCTGCAAACGCTTCCGTGCGTCACCCCATTGCTTTTAGCAAACCTGATTCTTGGTGTGTGACCTTCAGCGCAAAAAGTTGCAGAATGTCTGTCTTTGTATGTCCTAAAAATAGTTGAGGTATCTGTAGGTGGATTGTTGCATTAATTTAGGAAAGTGCATGTCCGAAATTACTGAATTTTTACAGCGAGTTATATAAAATGTCGTCTTGTCTTTTGAGCCACTGGCCAATTTGGAAGGGTGAGAGCACCAGTAATCATAACTTCAGAGTATAAGAGTCCTCTGAGATGCTTTATCTTACATTTTCATTTTTTTTTTTAAATGAGAAAAGTATGTATTGCGGAGATGGGTAGGCAATCTACGGAATGTGACTTAAAGCAAATAATCTGGAATTTTAAAATGTGTAATCACTATAATCTTGCTTTTCCTGTTCTTCTCCCAGTGATAGCTCTGGTTCCAGGATCTCACCAGTCTGTGAAGGGTAAAATCAAAATAAGTGAATGTTTTGTTTAGATACTGGAAATTAAAATTACAGATTTATCTGTGTCAGGTCACTGTCCTCTCCTCTAACTCTCCTCTTCCTTGCATTTTTTTTTTTCAGCAGTGTTTCCTTGCATTTTTTCTTTTTTTCTATAAATACTCAGTTTCCACGTTGATGTTTATTTCTAGGTAGATGATGAAGAGCTACAAGATGAGCCTCTCCAGATCACAGTTCTTGATCATGATACCTACAGTGCTAATGATGCCATTGGCAAAGTGTACATAGATATTGATCCTTTGCTCTACAGTGAAGCAGCTACAGTTATTTCAGGATGGTTTCCAATTTATGATACCATTCATGGTAAGATTTCCTAAGGTAGAAGTAAAACAATATTATTTGAGATGTAATCTGCTTCTTACAGTCTTTATTTCTGTAAGCTGTGTTCAGAAATTGGTAGTAATTTTAGCCTGGGGAGCTGGAAAGTTATTTTCCTGGCTGCTTTTACCTTATTTCTGGCATGAGCAAATGTCTTGCCTAGTGTTTGGCAGAACGCCTTCCCCAAGAACTTGTGACAAGTGGAAAAAATCCTCACGTGGTATTTAAAATAGTATTTTACAGATCACTGTAAAATTCATTTAAAAAAAAAAAAGACCCAAACATACTTTTCCAATTACCACGTGTTTACTAAAAGGATATACTTTTGCTGAAGTCACTTGGGGTGTGTCTCCTGGGATGTTGGATGAACTTCACTTGAGATGGAGGGACAGGATGTGACACATCTTCGACATGAAGTACAGGATGAAATTCCTTTTCCCTGCAGATAGTACTCTCAGCGCTAGGTAGATTTCATCAGAATATCCTGAAGGTATGAGAAAATGAAGTTAATGCTGGTTTTGTCTTTGATTTTAATGAAACAAAGAAAGTCAAGGTCAGTTTACAGCAATTAGCTTGCTGGTTTGGTACGTTATTGCAGAACATCTGTCTGGTGCTCATTACCACCCTTGTTCATTATCTAGTGTGAATTAAACGACCTAACTATGTTGAAAGCTAATTATAAGTCAGAAATAATTAATGGTATTTACTAGGTGATCATCGTAACTGATGCAAAGTATTTTTTACATTTCAAACAGTTATATTGAAGAGGTTGTTTTGAGAAATATTGCATGGATTTTCCTTATCCGTTTATTCACATTTTCTTATTGTATGTTTTCTTTTGAAGTTAGATGAACACTTGTCTCAGGATGTGGACAACTTGTATGTCAGAAGAAATTAGATTTCTTAATATTTTTCTAGATCTGTTAGTATTTCTCACCTTTTTTTCTGTTTAAGTAAAATGGGAATTCTTATAGTTCTGTGCTCATAGCAGTAGCTTCTGATTATCTTGATCCTTGGCGAACAGTAAGTTCCTTAAAAAAATCAGTATAATGTTTCTAAATTTTTATTAAAAAAAGCTTTTTTGCACCTCAACAGGATTATATGTGAAAATATATGAACCTGATGTGTTTCCTGTTATAGTAACTGAAGGCTTCGTTTGTTGGCATTTTGGAAGATAGATCTGGGTGACTTATTGCAATAACGTCAATCTTCGAATGTAATGCTTTTGTTTGAGTGTCATATACTTACGTGATAAAGGCTTCTGAAGACACTAGAGATCAGACTCATCAAGAAATTTAGTCCCCAATATGTCAAAACCTATAATATGTGAAATGATTTCATTACTGGGTGGGAAAAAAGAAAAAAAGCTCAGAATAGGAAGGTAGAAAAATGAATGGGAAAAAAGAAGAAAAGCTCAGAATAGGAAGGTAGAAAAATGAAAACAGAATGGCTGTGTGCTGAGGGTGTAATTCCATTATTAGTAAGGATTAATTTTGGCCAAAAATTAAGCTTTATCTGAAAAGTTTGTAATACCTTATTTTTTAAAATATATTTTTCTCATAGTGGAAGTATTTTACAGTCATTTCCCATGCCACTTTGTGGTTCTAGAAAGTACCATAAATTTTCTTATTGGATTGAACTTCAGAGAGCAGCTTTACTGCGGTTTTGAAACCATTTCAGGGAGAAAATGCAAAATCTTTTAGGTGCTAGTCAGAGCTTTCTGATGTGCACAGGACTCCAGTTTCAAGGCATCTCTACTCAAAGTTAGTACTTCCCATCTTTTTTGGTAAAGATATCTTGGGACAGTCGTGGTACTTAGATGCTGATTGTATACCCTTCCTGCGTTGGTGGTACAGGACAAAGGAGCAGAGGGAGCACTTGCAGAGTGTGGCAGAGGCTACTGCAGTGTCAGGAGGCCCAATCTCAGCATTCTTCTAAAACTCTGTTCAGTGCAGCAGGTATTTGAGGGCTGTTGTTTGAGTAGCTTCAGCCTCAAGGACTAGAAACTTCCTCTGTGATGTCTCTGGAGCAAATACGTCCTGCTCTGGTGGCCCAGGCTGGAATTGGCACCTGAACTGAAGGCTTCTAGCAAGATTCTAGTACATTCTTTGCAGGAAAACTAACTAATTGGTAATAGAAAGTGCATTAATTACTAATAACAGGGAGTAATTAATAGGACTAGCTTTTTATTTGTTTCTGATACAGCTTTTCTTTTATTGATAGGTATACGTGGGGAGATCAATGTGGTGGTGAAAGTAGATCTCTTCAATGATTTAAACAGATTTAGGCAGTCATCCTGTGGAGTCAAGTTTTTTTGCAGTAAGTAGAGCAAAAAAATTCCTCACTCTTTCTTTCTTTCTTTACATTTTCTGTCAGTTTCCCTTTTTCACCAGCATAAGCCCAGTGGAGATTACATTGAAGCCAGTGGCAAATGCATAAAATTGTTTAGTTGGCTTTTTTTTAATAATAATTTTTTACTGTTCATATTTTAAAACAATGTAAATAACTGATTCCCCTCCTTCCCTTATCTTTTTTAAGTTGCATTTCAGTGCATGTGCATACGCACGTTTTGTTATTTTGGGTGCGTATCCTGTTGGAGGCACAAAGTGAAAATGTTTCCCAGTGGTGCATGTTGTAACTGATAGTAACTGGACAGCAATCTTATCAAGTGTTCCAGGGGCTCCCAGAACAAAACCACTTGGGTATGCCCACATCTTAACACAAAGTCATGTGGTTTACTTTCTGGAATTGTTCACATCACTTTTTATGTGTAATTTTATGGTTTTTTTGGAATTCTTCACTCATAGACTTGTGTCTTACGTCTTTTATATATACATATATATATTTTTTTTTTTAACAGCTACATCTATTCCGAAGTGTTACAGAGCAGTAATAATTCATGGATTTGTGGAAGAACTTGTAGTTAATGAAGACCCAGAGTACCAGTGGATAGATCGAATTCGTACACCAAGGGCATCAAATGAGGCTAGACAAAGACTTATTTCACTCATGTCAGGTATTAAACATGTAGGCTGTAATGGTTATTGCTGCTTTTAATAATATTCACTGTTTAAATAAGTGACTGGCTTAAGACAAGATTGTATATGATATTTGCTATTAATTCTGTTTATTTTTTTCAGTTCATATTGTCTTCTGAAAATGAAGGTCCTGACTGATGGCCAGTATGGCTGATTTACTTTTTTTCCTTCTTTTTTATTTTTTCCTTCTCGGTGAGGCCTTGCTGCTGTCAAATTTCTTCATTGCTTTTAGCAAGGTCAGAGAAACTTGTGGAACTTTCTTGAAGGTATTCTTAACCACATGAGGAGTATTAACTAGAATTTTGGTTCAAACAATTAAAATAACGAACTACTCTACCCTCTTTGAACTTCTTCAAAGGATGTGAACAAATATACACTGTCTCAGATACAGTGTGTATTAGAACTTCTCTTACTCCTCCTATCTTTTCGAAGTCAAGATTGGCTCATTGTTTCTCAAGCATACTTCTGTCTTGCCGTGCATCTGTCCTACAGGACATACCTGCAATTCCTGGAGAGACTAGTGATTAAAGTCAGTTGATCTCTCCACAGTATCAAGTATCTTCACAGATTTCCTTTTAATTTTTTTATTTTCTTACTGATGCTTATGAACAACAGTTGAGAACCAAGATCCTCCTGTTTCAGTGCCAACAGAACAAAACATCCCTACTCTGGAGTATTTGCACACTAAAACAAGAGACAGTCAATTGATAGAGGTGAACAATATTGAAGGTGTAAAGAATACAAAGGAATAATGACAAATAGCCACTAGAATTGCAGGCAGTGGATTCAGTTCTGTGATGGGTTCTTAATGTTGTTGGACTCCTTGTAGATACAGCTGTATTTTAAGGAAGATATAGAAAGAAAAAGTGAGTTGAGTTTTGCAAGCATGTGTGGAGATCTTCAGTAAATGGGGCAACATAAAAGAGGTCACAGAATCACATGGGGTTGGAAGGGACCTCTGGAGGTCATCAGGGCCACCCAGAGCAGGTCCCACAGGAACGTGTCCAGGTGGGTTTGAATGTCTCCAGAGAAGGAGACTCCACCACCTCCCTGGGCAGCCTCTTCCAGGGCTCTGCCACCCTCACAGCAAAGAAGTTCCTTCTCATGTTTAGGTGGAACTTCTTATATTCAAGTTTGTGCCCATTTCCTCTTGTCCTGTCCCTGGGCACCACTGAAAAATGACCGGCCCCATCCTCTTGACACCCTCCCTTTAAGTATTTATAAGCATTAATCAGATCCCCCCTCAGCCTTCTCTTCTCTAGACTCAAAAGACCCAAGTCCCTCAGCCTCTCCTAGTAAGGGAGATGCTCCAGGTTGTGGAGATGTTACTCAGAATCTTCATTAGGAAAGCCTGCACATTTTGAGGAAAAATGTGAAAAAGCATTATTGTCATAACTGACATGAATTCACTTTTTCTGAAGTTGTTAATATAGCTCTCTGGGTATGTCAGTTTACAGGATTAACATTTGCCTTGCATAAATAGTGAAAGTTGATAAAGTAGCACATATAGAAGTATTCTTCTAGATTTTATTAATATTTTTATTCATGGCAGTGAAACTTCTGTGTGGTCCAGCACATGGCTCGGCCATCTCATTCTCTCTCTTAATAAGTAAAGAAGGGGAAAACTAATGAAAATCTAGAGAAGAACATTTCTTTAATGATGTGTTGTTTTGGCAATCAGAATAGATTTAGAGAAAAAAAGGAAAAAAGCTGTGCAAATCATGAGTATTGCGCTATGTTATAGGAAGCAGAGACTGTGACCAGCTGCTTGGCATAATTGTGTAAGATTGTATCTATTACCTGTTTTACTGACTTGGTTGGCAATTTCAAAAGCAGAGGCTAAAGATCACAAAAAAGAATAGGGAAAGTTCCCTGCGATTATGAGCTCTTTACCTTTTGTTTTGTAGGTGAATTGCAAAGGAAGATTGGCTTGAAGGTGCTTGAAATGAGAGGAAATGCTGTTGTTGGTTATTTGCAGTGCTTTGATTTGGAGGGAGAGTCTGGACTAGTAGTGCGAGCCATAGGAACAGCCTGCACATTGGATAAATTAAGTAACACATCATCATTTTTACCTGCATGTAACTCCCCATCCAAAGAAATGAAGGAGTAAGTATGAATTAATAGGTTGTAGGTAAACAAGTTTCATCTCTCTTCTTTTCATACTCATTCAGTTTTACGTAACCGGTGTGATTTCTTTTCGCCCCTGAATTTGTTTTTCTCTTGTAGTTTTATTTGTCTGCAACTCGGTTTATATTCCACAATTTTGAAATGTTTTAGGTTGGATTACTTATATTATGTCTTTAGAAGCTGGAGTGGTGTTCCTTACTTGATATGACTTTTTTGAATTTATATAGCAATGGTATTACGTATCCTTGTGTTGTGATCCACCAATTTCCTAACTAATAATTAGTTCTGCCTCGACTACGTTTGTGCAATAAACATTTTTGTGAGGACTTCTTATGATATACCTTCTGTTCAGGATTTTCCAAGTTCAGTACAATCAGGTTTGAGCATTTATGCTGAACATAAAAGAAAAGATAAATTGGAATTCAGAGAGTTCTGTCAGTGATTTAGAAAATGATCCTGAAGTAGTCTCGTCTTTTTTTTGTGTGCTTTGCTTTTTACTATTGCAAAACAAGTAGGGCTATTGCAAAACAGTTAAACAGTGGACTTGCAAAGAAAACTCTTTATGACGAGGGGTAGAATTTCTTGATCTCTATTATATCCATTGCAGCACCAAACAGTTTGAATGCAATTTTTTTTTACATGCATACAAATTACAGGAAAAATCCTTGCAGTCTTCTTCAGATTGTTACTGCTTTGTTGCTTGGATTAATTGTTTTGTGTTTGATAGAGTGATCCAATTTCTGGAAGGAAAAAACAGCACCAGAAAGTATACTACTTATGCTATGTTTCCAGAGATATTAATTGAATTGGTCATTTTCATTAACTGGAACTGTTCTGTCATTAGTGTAGTAATTAGGCATTTTTGTTGTGCAGGCATCAGTATCCTCTGACTTCTCAAAGGTACTGGTTTCTATTTCAAATCATAGCTTGTTTAACTTGTCTTAATTTTAAAAATTTGCCATCAAAAGAGCTTCTGGATACAATACAGCATAAAGTAACAGTGGTGATTAAAAAAAAAAAAAGGACTTGGTAACTACTAGCTTAAAAAGCATTCATAAATAAATTGGTAGCTTTCACTATGGAGCAAAATGTGGAAATTCCACCCCCTAAATAATCCGTGTTCAGCTTAGTGGTGGCTATTGTCAGAATCACTGAGCAACATTCCCGTTTTTTGGACTGAGGGACAAAGCTATTAAATCAACTAATACTTCTTACTCTTGGCTTCACTAACTTGATGCCTTGTTGCCAAAGAATTAATTACGCATTCACAAGCTAGTGCTTAAGCGGTTCCTTTCTATCTTTTTATTTCATCTGGACTCTTGCATGCTAGGAATTGAAATCCTTAGAGTCTGCTTAAAGTAAGAGATCTCCTCTAGCTAAACTTCCCTGAAATCATTTATAACATAACTTTGCAACCTGTTTGTATGTATTGTTTTCTTTTCTTCCACCTTGGCTGCACATTCTCTCAGGTCTCCGCTGGTTCATCCGCCAAGCCATGGATGCCGCTCGACTCACAACAGCCCAATTCACACTGCTACTGGCTCACGACTTACTCAGAACTTCTCTGTGTCTGTTCCCACTCTCATCTACACTGGTACGAGACTGCTCAGACTCAAGAGCTGGGGAGAGGCAGGCCACAGGCACAGTGGTCGCAAAGTGCAGGCAGGCAGGCAGTGTAGGCAGGTACCACCCATCTTTTCTCCCTCATTTTCTCATGGAGACACCTTCTGTTGTCAGTGAAGAACTACTCTGTGTGCAGCTGCTGAAACAAAGGCAATCATTTCTTGAAAATGCATCGGAGTCTCTTCCACAAAGCCACACTCTTCATTGCTTTTTATTAACGTGCCTAACTTCCTAAGGAATCGAGTAAAAGCAATTTGATGTGTCTGGGGAACAGTCATTATTTTTACATTCGTTGGAGGAATTCACGTTTTGATTGGAGTTCCTAATTGCTTTAAAGCGTCATTCTGATATGATATTTAGGTTTTAAAATGGTTATAGGAAGAGTATGTGCCATTTGTGGAAGAGATGGTTTTAGAGAGCAGGTAAGTCAATCTGTGCATAAGTGAACTGTTTGTCAATATAGTTGCTCCCGTAAAGATTCTCCTCTTTGCTCTGTTTTTAGCTGTGGCATGCTGCTGATGCTATAGGATAAGGAAACATATTTTTTTTTTCCTTAAAATGCATATGTGTGTGTATACATAAGTGTATGAATATGTATAAACACAAATATAATTTGAAATCATTTTTTCTTTACTAAACTAACTCAAAGCATTGTGTATTTGACCAGTTTTTTAAGCCATAAACGGTTTTCAATTTTTTTCTTTTGCATATATATAATTTTTTTTTGTCACATCTCATGCCTCTCATTTGGCTTAATTGTTTCATTGTAGATTATCAGCATCTATCTGTAGAGTGCTGAGTGGGTAAAACAGCATTTCTTTGCCTCTGGCCTCAACCCCAGTCTCGCACCTAAGGAATAGCTGATGGCCCTGCCCCAGTCCCATCCTGGTGTTTGGATCATGCTGCTGTCAGCCAGGTCCTTTGGCACAGGATTACTGAATATGTTTCCACCTTCTTCTGGCAGGATTCCCTTCAATGAAGATCCCAATCCCAATACTCATTCATCAGGACCCTCCACCCCTCTGAAAAACCAAACCTATTCCTTTTCACCTTCCAAGTCCTACAGTCGACAGTCCTCTTCTTCTGACACAGATTTGAGTTTGACACCCAAAACTGGTAAGGCGCTTCCACCCACTTTTTGTTTAATTTGTGTTTCTCTTTTTATATTTTCATTCAACCCCTTTTTGCTTTTTGGCATTTAAGTTATCAAAATGATGTGGAAATTGGAGACTTCAGATAGCACACCTCAAGCTTGAAAGGGTGAAAATTTAAATCCTGCCTATATTTCCACTATTCTGGATAACATTAAAATGACACTTCTGACACAACTGTATTCAAGTCAAAATAAAACATTTCAGAGCATTAAGGGAGTCCTAAGTAATTGCCTTTTTCTTATTTCCTCCATTTCATATTACAAATCATGGGAGTACATTTCTCACCACAGTATGTTAAGGACAGCGTTACTAAACCCATTTAATCTTCAAGCATAATGCCCTGTGCTAGAAGTATATTGTATACGTTTCTCTGTGATTTTTAACTCCTTTTTGCAAATGTGATACTAGAAATGTAGCAGCTGCTGTCTTTTTATTCTCTTCGGTATATGGAAATGGCTTTACATACGTTTTGAAAGTAACTTAAATTCTACTCCAGCCATCTTCAAAAAGCGTTTTTCTTTCTCCATTGGGCTATCATAATTTCTTCAACGTGTTGTTTCCTCCTTCCCTATTTTTCAGTCTGTGGTTAGAATCATGTCAGTAATACTGTCAGCACAGCTCAAAAGAATTATTTTTTGTTTATTCAGCGTTATTTGATCAGTCCCCTGAGTTTTGCTACTGTAGGGCAAAATATTCTGCAGAACTGTTTATAAAAGTTTGGTTGCTTTTTCAATGGTGTTTTAAATTGTGGTATTTGGAGCTCAGAACATTCTTGTCTCCATCTAATCTAGACAACTTTTAAGCATGTTAAAGTAGTTGACTCAGCTTTACTTGAGAGCACCCCATGGAAAATTTTTTCCAAGCAGATAAGTGTTGCATTCAAATACAGTTATATTAATTATTTTACCCAGTTTATTCCCTAGATATCTGCTTAAAAGTGTTCCCAAGTAGGAAGTTGTCTTTCTTAGCACTATCTTTTCTGTCCTGGTTTTAAACAGAAAAACAAACAAAAGCACAGTCTTTTTTTGTTTGTTTGTTTTTGGTCCTTTTGTGTAAATGATGACTGTTTTGTGGATAACCTGTGGTGGTCACTTGTTTAAAGGACCTACAAATATAACTAGATGCTTAATATGTAGGAGAACCACAAATTCATGTGTGGTTTACTGAGTGAAAACCTGTTTCTGTTGATCAGATTTTCTGTGGTAAGAATCACGTTGTGTAAAAATATTAAAATGTAACATAGATGATTATTTTTATAGATGTAAATGTTCTGAATTTGTGAAGGTGGCAACTCACTGTGAATTTGGCAAGTTTTTAAAGCAGCAACCTTATATCATTCCTGGCAATGTTATGGAGGTGGATGGGCCCTCTCATCTTCAGTCAGTTCAGTCGGAACTGAAACAGATTGTGTAATTGGTACCTCTTATTTTTAGGCATTTTTCGAGTATATAAATATTTTTTTAGCTAACTTTTTAGTATTAAAGCTACAGTGGGCATACTTTTGCTTACTGCCTCTGTCTTCTTAGCAGCTTTTAACTGTGCTACTGAAACTTGTCTTAAAAGGATTTGCTGGTTGCATTGAAACGTTCTGTATCTTGGTGTTACAGTCTAGATTTTGAATCTTTAATAGCTTAAAAGGACAGCGTCTCTTGTTTGTTTTACCTTTTACCAAAAATTTGATAATGTGCAGAAGATGCTTCCGTAACATACTACATTTAGGATGTTGTTTTTAACAATTCCCTGTATATATTTAGACCTCTATTTTCATTTCCTAAGACTGATATTAAGCTGGAATATTTCAGTGTGAAAGTTGGCGATGTTAGTGTTTAAAAAGGGATAATAAAAAATATGCAAACATCTTGTGACACGTTGTCAGACTTGAGATAGTCATTACTCAGATTTGCTGATGTGAAAATTGGAGTATTTTCTGATGTTTCTGGAGTATATTATATTTCTCTCTACTTTGCAGTCAGGTCACTAGTGTGTTCATGTGTTTGAGATGGAGACTAACCCACAAAAAAGAGTGCAGATACCACAATTTCACAATATGAATAACTAAATAGAGGAGATCAGATGCTTAAGCAGATGCAACTTTCAGTTTTCAGTAGCTCCAAATCAGGAGAATATTACCTTAATATCTTTTATGAAATACAATTGTGATTGTGTTACCCATTCTGGTCTCTATCTGATCTAAATATGAGGGGAAATTATTCTGTGCCAAGAAAGCTTGTTTTGGTTTGACATTAGACTTCTTCTGTGAATAGAGATATGTTTTATGCCGCTGCAAACTATCAGAATACCAGGCCAACAAAAAAAACCACAACATTTTAATCAGGTAATACATTTTTATGTGACATAGTATATGTTTGGAGGAAATTGAGAAGGTGGGAACTCCTTTTCTTTGTGGGTACTTAGAATTCTACAAGATTTATGACTAAAAATCGTAAAACAAATCCATGACTTTTCTGGAAAATGACTTTTTATACTTAAATAATGAAAACAATCAGATTAACTGTGTGAGAAGACTGTGTTATTTAACATTTACTCCATAGTATTTGTTACCAAATTTTGTATAAAATTTAAAATAAATGTTAGCTTACCGTGGGTTTTAAAAAAAAATAATTTAAAAATAAAGTTAATCCAGTCATGATTTTTGAGAACATGCATCTCATTGACATTGTGGAGCTGTATTGTCATTCCATTTCTTTGTCCATTGAGAAATAATTTAGCAGTAAGTGCTGGTTCATTTGGAGAAAAAAAAATGCTTCATTTTGATTTCTTCTGTCTGTTTCTTTAGTCATCTTCTGAATCTCCATCTCTCTGTCTCTATTACTTTCCTCCACAGCACCTTCCCCACAGGGACCTAGGATTTTCCTGTTTCCCAGCTCCCCTACACTCTCTTGTGATTCCCCACATCTTAAAAAGTCCCGTCTCCTCCTCTCGGGCTCTAGCCTTAACCCTCTACACTCTAGCCATGTCAGCCCAGTTGTTCTGAGGAAAAGTGTTTCTTTCACTGAAGAGCTGCTTCTGGCTGCTTCTGGTAGGATCAATCTATTATGGCCTTTTAAACAAACTTGTAAGAAAATGTTGTTGTTGGTTGATACGGGGGCATTTAACACACAGCCTTCTATAACCCTATGTTTTTGTTCAATAGCCTCTGAAAACTGCTGGCTACATGACTATTCATACCATCTCTCACCTCTGCCCAGAAGCTTGAAACAGCTTCAGAACTCCTTAAAGGATATGAAACATATGTAGTTTATGCTACAGAACTTTCTCCTTTTCCCTCGCAAAATTTCCTTTGGTAATTGGACTAAAATAATTTACTGTGGCTTTTTTTTTTTTTTTTAATCTCCATCATACCCTTCACCTTGTTGTTCCTATATTTTGCATGGAACAAGCACTTGCTCATTAATTCATCCATAATTTATTAAAACAGTGGCTATCAGATGGCTAGCAACTCTGCTCTTTAAATTAATCTTTTAAACAAAACCTGTGCAAACTTTTTATTTTTTCTGCCTCCTTTTCCATTTCACTGTGACATGCATTATTTTCATATGTTTAAATTAAATATTTGATATTACTGCTTTTTTTTTTTCCTGTAGAAACTATTTTGATTAGTTTGTATTTTTTGAGTTTGTTTCATGTCCAGTATTTATGCTGTGTTTGTCTGTATTTAATATTGTATAGTCCCTGACAATGGTGTTTAGAATCAATGCCAAACAGTAAAAGCAATTTAATCTTGTTTAATGGGACTATACAGATACTAATACTTTTGTTTCCTTATCCAAGAACAGCTAAAAATATTTGTTAAAATTATAGTATTTTTAGATATAATTATATAGTAATGATAGCCTAGTAATTTTTGAAATAAGTCCAGTATTAGTGCTAGATCTCCCAGTCTGTGGTTAAAACAAAAAACTGCACTTTGATGTATATGTACAGTCTCATTCATGTTTATTAGATGCTTGATCAGAAGAAAAAGGAAACTAGCAAGGAATTGTTATGTTAAAATAGTTCATAACTGTTTGCACTGTGCTGTTTGTATTTCATCCTGCTCCTGACACTTCTTTTTGTTCTTTACCCTGTGCTTTCCGATACAACTCACGTGTTTATTTTTGCTGTGTCGAGAGTTAGCACTGATGGTTTTCAATACAAGAAATACCAATGATAGTATGTTTTTTAGGCATGAAATATTGCCAAGAAAATCTGATTCACTAGAATTGTGTTTACTTTAGGAAAAACACAACCTTGGTATGTGTTTATTTTTTCCTTCTGTGATTTCTAACCGTAGAGCAAATAGCTTACTGTCATACATATAACCTGCATCTCCGCACACTCAGTTACGAGTACAGCTCCTTGATAACAGACAATTGAATAGCAAAGGTATCTGTGTCCCTGATAAAGTTATTATCTCTTCTGAAAAGCTCCTGTATTGGAGAGTAAGAGCAGGAGTAAAATATTTGAAAGAATGAAAGAGAAAATTACCCATATTATGCATAATTGGAGTTTATTTCTTATTTTCACTTCATCTGCAGGTTATGCGTGTGCAAATATAGTAATCAAACAAGTGTGGCAGTTTGAAATGCTGAGCTGTAGTCCTTAGCTTATTTGAATTCATCAGATGAGTTAATATTTCATAGCATAGATATTAAAGAAAATAAAAAGAATTGCTAATATTTTTCAGAGCTTATATTGCAAATCAAAGAATGTGCCTTGCCTTTAGAGTTTTCTTTTTGGTCTCAATCATGATGTAGCTATTACTGTAATAACGTGGGCAGTCTCCTCCCAGCGGTTAGGAAGAGTGATTTAGTTACTCTGAAACTTTCAGCCAGATTTTTATTACTCTTTTTTTTTAATGATAATGATAGTAGAGAGAGCAACTTGACTATAGAGTACTGTGGCAGAGAGGTGCTGTTCAATAGTGTGGAAGTAATGGTGACATTGCAGCCCGTTTTGATAAGGGCTGAACGTCTGATTACATGGAAACTTTCTGTGAAAAGCAGAGAAGGCAGATCTATATCCAAATCATAGGCAAACCTCCCAATAGTAACAAGGAAAAATAAAAAAGAATTGCAAGCCCAGATGTTTAAGTCTTTGTATTTTGAAGGGTTTTTTGTTTTAATTCAGGCTGGAACAAAGAAAAAGATCCTAGATTAGGGGCATTTTGTCAAAATGCTAAAACCCACTACTAATCGTGTGAAAACCAAACCCCAAAACACCCCCGCCCCACCCTGAATTAAACTGTGATACTCAGGTTTTTTTTCTGAAAATTATAATTATGGGGATAATTTGGCTGTTTTCAATGACTATTTTACATATTTTTAAAGTAAAGCTGGATTATAAATTATAATATATGTTTCTTTGAATGTTATTTGTACTGATACTCTTCAGGAATGGGCAGTGGGAGTGCTGGAAAAGAAGGGGGGCCATTTAAAACTCTTCTACGACAACAGACTCAGTCAGCTCTGGAACAAAGGGTAAGGCATTTTACATGTCTATTTCTGAGCTACTAAAGTGAATTTAGCTTGTACTAAGTTAAATGTTTACTGTTACTTTCTGTTTAAAAATATGTGTAATTTTTAGGTCTGAAAACTTATTGCAAATAGTAAACGTTTAATAGCGCTTTTATATACAGATTATTTAAATTTTAATGTATCACTAAGGCATTAAGAAAAGTGGAGCAAATAACTGTAATGTGCACAGCACTCAAGTGATTACAGTTGGTGTTATAAGAAACTGTTACAGCAAAAATTGCTGCTATTTAGTCTCTGTAAATCTCTGTGTAAGTTTAATATTTTACCATCGCGTATTTAAAGTATTCACAGAAGCCAAATTGAGAAACGTTGGAATAGCTTTAAAGAAGGTGAAAATCCCATTCATGATTGCAAAACTTTCAGTTTTGAAAAACAGAATTGATGCATACTTTAGCCTTTGTTCTGCTGCATGAACTGGTGTGCTTGGAGCCTTTGGAAAATGGTGACTTAAACAAACCTTACCCACTTCCCAAACCGTAAAGGGGCAGATTTACAGATTTACAGCTTTTTGGAGAAGCTCTCTAGGACTGCAAATGCTGTCTAGTTGTTGTTACGCTGGATAGACTGTAGAATAAAAATAGTGGTTTTTATTCTTCGTTCAAATTTTGGAATGAGCCCTTGCTGCTTTTTTTTATAGTTCATATACTGCTTTTGTCAAAATGGTGTCAGCGAGGTGTCTTGAAGGAAGAAGTGGGAATGTTTGCCTATTCAGAAATAACTACTAGTTTAATTACTCTTTCTCTGTCTACCTGAACTACTTACATAGAACGATATAACTTTGTTGAAAACAAAATCAGTTACATCTGTGAAATATAAGTGAATAGCTGCTATTTTTTATTAGCAAGTGGATGATTCTCTTCTCATTTTTTGTGTTACCCATTGCTAAGGGAGGATCGCCTCGTAGGTTCTGTAGAAGGCGGGTACGTTCCAAAACATTGTGTGACTTTCTTTGTAGCCCTTTTTTCTTGTACTGAGGATTTCTAAACAATTATTTCCAATATTTTGATTTTCTTTTTTTTGTGAGGTTTTGCAGATTTCTTTGTAATCTTGTTTATGCAGGATTTTTTGATATTTGTTCTGTTATTTTTAAAAGCATTTATCAGATTGGCATATTTTTCATTAGTTAGTATTTTGCATGTTGATATATTTCAGTTAAAATTTTAATTTCTCTTTAAATACAAATCCATGGCTTTTTGCTTTTATTATTTCAGTTTGAAAAAAATGCTTTAAAAAGAGCCTTTTCTCTGTTTGCCTTTTTTTTGTTAGCGTTTCAGATATTTCATGGCTGATTTGTTATTTCCTTAGGAAGCTTTTAAAAACAATTAAAAATGTAAATTAAGAATGTACACTGAATGTATTTTTAGAGCTTGAATTATTTGCACATTGTTTTGATATGGCCTGTGCATTGTCTAGTGGAAAAAAAATTCCTGTAAAACATGTTGAGTCTGTAACTGATGAAGATGTAGCAAAGCATGTGGACTGTTAATTGATTTAAAAAAAAAATGTTCATACTGTCTTTCTGAAAATATATTGGATGTGGTTTTGCTGTGGTTACCTCTTATGGTTACTTTAAGGTTGAGTAGTTTGTAAATGTTCTTAATTCTAGTTATTTTGTCTGTTTTAATATTGCACATGTAAATAGTGTGCTCTGGTTACTTCTGGGTTATTTAGAGTAGTGCTTATTTGGGAAAACAAATTCAATATGTATATATTTCCAGAATTATATAGGAGGTTCTTTTGAGTCTTAGTTCAGTTTACTTGGATATATAGTAATGCTAAGGCATATTAACCAGTTCGTTTAACTGAATGGGTTTTTTTTTTTTAATCAAATATATGTTTAGTATGTTACTTAAATAACCCTAATTGCAAACCAGAACAGATTTTGTTGGAAAGGTAGTTTTACTCAGTTTCTTCCGGGAAATACACCAGCTGTGGAAAACTCACATCCATGTTCTGTTGTGCATTAATATATTTTTAGCAATTCACAGCATGCCTATTGATAGAAAGCGTAACTATAGCACAGCTTGCTTTGTGGATATTTTTATCTATAAATGTGTTTGCTATGTTTCCATCAGTTGGAAAATTTGAGCTTACTTTACTCATTAAAAAAATTAGCCTGTGTCTTTGTAGAAATGACCAAATGCTGCTCTCGATGGTATTTTGTTGCCCTCAAGTTGGACAAACGCTGTTCTGTTCCTCCGCCTTTGCATTCTGCGAGTGCTTGAGAGATCTTTACTGCTGCCTCTTCAAAATGGAGATGTGTTCATCTTCATCTCTGAAGAGCACCGCTAGATCACTGCTGTGTTAGAGTGCAGTTCTCTCTCTGATTCTTTTGGCTGAAAAGCTGGCTTAAGCAACTTTTCTTTCCAGCAACTTCTTGTTGCTATCTATTTAGCCCATCCCCTCAGTTCAGTTGAAGAAAATTTGTGAGATTCTTTGGCCGCCTTATGACATGGTGCAGTGATTGTGCTTAGAATAAAAATAATTCAACCAGGAAATTAACAGTATTTGAATGTGGAGTGGATCCCTCCCCTGATTCAATCCAAAAAGCTCTAAATGTACCTGAGCATTAAGTGAGGGGTGGTACAGTGATGGGAATGAGGGAATGGCTGGAAGGGAATCTGAGAACTGCTTCAGCTGGCACTAACACCAAATGATACGTGTGTGTAGCTTTGTTCCATGGTCTTTTTCATTATTTTGTGTGTCTTTGGATGAAATGTAGTTAGAAGAATACTAGCAATACATGTATGCCTATACAGAAACGTTTTTAAACATTGTATTCAACAAATATTTTTGAGGATTTTATTGTAGCCTTATCAAACTTTCCCCAAATGCCAACTACAAAATCTCCTATGTGGTTGCAAGGATTAAACCAGTGACAGTTCTTTCATCGCCTGTGCAGTCAGCGACTGCGAAATGGCGTAGTGAATCGGTATGGGTAAAATGAGTGACCATCCTGGGGAGGAAGAACCCCAGGCACCAATATAGGTTAGGGGTGGATCTTCTGAGGAGAAGGAGCTGGGGGTCCTGGTGGACAGTAACCTATCCATGAGCCAGCAATGTGCCCTTGTGGCCAAGAGGCCAGTGGGATCCTGGGCTGCGTAGGGAAGAGTGTGGCCAGGAGGTGGAGGGAGGTCATTCTCCCCCTCTGCTCTGCACTGGGGAGGCCACAACTGGAATCCTGCGTCCAGTTCTGGGCTCCCCAGTTCAAGAGAGACAGGGAACTGCTGGAGAGAGTCCAGCGTAGGGCAACAAAGATGATGGAGGGATTGGAGCATCTCCCTGATGAGGAAAGGCTGAGAGAGCTGGGGCTCTTTAGCCTGGAGAAGAGAAGGCTGAGTTCCTAAAGGGTGGGTTGAAGGAGGATGGAGCCAGACTCTTTTCAGTGGTTCCCAGTGACAGGACGAGGGGCAATGGGCACAAGCTGGACCATGGGAAGTTCCACTCCAATGTGAGGAAGAACTTGTTTGGGGTGAGGGTGGCAGAGCCCTGGCAGAGGCTGCCCAGGGAGGGTGTGGAGTCCCCTTCTCTGGAGATCTTCAAGCCCCACCTGGATGCTCCTGAGTGATGTGCTCTGGGCAGCCCTGCTTTGGCAGGGGAGTGGGACTGGATGATCTCTAGAGGTCCCTTCCAACTCTGACAATTCCATGATTCCGTGATTCCGTGATCTTCAGTTGTAGCTTGGGAACTTTTAGATCATCATGTCTTCTTACACTGAGGAATACTCTGTTCTTACATCACCTTGATGTAAAGATAGTCCTTTGCAAATTGCAGTAATAGAGGAGATTTGTAATGCGGAAACATTGCATCTGGTTCTCATGGAATCTCTGTTTCCTATGCAAGAAGTGTAACTTCACAATTTTGTAGTGTTACAGATTACTACATGTAATCGAGGGTGGAACTTGTATTTGAGAATTTTAATGATAAACACCCCCCCCCACCAGCCCCCAACATCTACATGAGCTTAAAAAAGAAAAAAAGGCAGGGGTGAGGGGGCAAAAAAGCACCCATCATATGAAGTGGTCGAATTCCGTCTGCATCAGAAGGAATGAGACCTTGTTAATGGAATAAGAGTATGTCCAAATGGTTCAGGGAGTCACTCACCCAGATTGGTCTGTGGCTGAAATGAACTGATAGGACATATGTCTAATTTTAGCACCTAGTATAATACAGACCTGCAAGTCTCAAGATATTGATTGAGACAAAACCATGTTATTACTTTAAAGTTTTACTCCTGGTTTGTGGTGTAGGGAATCAGACAAACTGCAAGTCTGAACGTATTAAAATGACTCAGGAAAACTGCAGGTTTTGGTGGGTTTTGGGGTTGGTTTTGTTGGGTTTTTTTTCTCGTTGTTGATACTATGGTGGCTGATTTCAAAGTTAGCTCTTTTGAAAAGTCTAGGCCAAATGAAAATCCAGAAAACTTGAAGGTTGTAGGACCTTTTAAAAGTTGTAAGAGTGCTAATAAGAAAGGTGATAAGAATTCTGACCTGTTACTTTTGAAGACTAAGAGGACCTTTCATGCCATGTATTGCTGGAAGAACCACGATCCTCGTTTGATCTGCAGCATGTCCGCTGTCTGGGTAGAAGCTCAGTTCAGCTGTAGTGTTGCAAGTGCTTCAAGTATGTGAGAAAGGAATCTATGCTGTACTTTCTCTCATATAAAATGATGGTGTTTATTTTGTCCTTTTAACTAATCATCATGACTGTACAAACCGTGATTGCATGATTTTTCTTTTCTTTTTCTTTTATTGCCTCTCTGCATTTAGAATTGCTGAACATAAATCTCTTGCCTTTCCCCCATGAGTGTGCTATCACCTGTATACTGGACGTTCCGTAGAATGTCTCTGTAGAAAACAAAATCTTCCAGTTTGAATCTTCCAGTCTTCTTTGAATATGACTGTTCTATTTCATCACGTGTGTCATGAAAAATTACAGTTATCACTTACTTTGCCTCATGTATGAACTGCGGTTTTGAGTAGTTGCTGGAACTTACAAATTCTTCATTTTAATTATGAAATGGTAAAAACTAATTTGTGCGAATGAATTGGAAGTGAGTTTCTGTAGTTTAAGAACTTAGAGTTGTATTTCAAAGACTTGTACTTTCTTGTAGAAGGTGGATGTTCTTATATTTAGAGCTTACACCTCTAGCAGAACAATCTGTTCGTATTTTTTAGGTATGTTTTCCTGTAATAAGACCTACATCATTCTTGCAAGACTACAGTTTGTTTTACCCCGTGCTTCAGGGTCAAACTGCAGTCAGTTGTGACAAGACCTAAAAAATGGAGAATGGTGTTCCTTTTTTTTCTGTCACCTGATGAAAGCAGAATTATGCTGTTTAGCTGCTGTCCTAAAAGTGGACCAATAGAGGCTTTGGTAACAGGAATGTGTAAAGTTTTGATTATTTATTGATACTGTGCTGAGATACAACTCTATGGGGGAAAAGTATTCATATATTGTATAATAGCTCTTTTGTTCCACTATGGGTATATGAAGATGTATGGTTACATAGTGCTTAGTAAGCCTGAAGGACATGTTTGGCCTCATGTAACTGCTTTGCTTGTATTTCAGGGAAGTTATTGATTCACTGCATGTTTATTGGCAATAGGCAGTGGTTGGTAAGCAGTCATTTGATGTTTGTTTTTAATCATAACAGGAATTTCCATTTTTTACCTTGACGACCTTTCCACCAGGCTTCCTTGTCCACGTTGGTGGAGTTGTCAGTGCACGGTCCGTGAAGCTCCTGGATCGCATTCACAATCCTGGTATGTTAACACAAGAACAATTTCATTGCCCAAGTCTGGTCATAATGATCATGTACTTCTAAATTTTATAACTTTATAACATATCAGTGTTTGAATAGATACAAATCTATTCTAACAATGTATATTAAAAGCTATATTTTTCGGGCAATCGTTTAAGCTTGAAAAATAATAGTTATTCAGAGGGTGTGTTTTTAGTGAAAATTATTTCAGCAAGTTAATGAAGTAATAAAGTAATTTGAATCCAGTAACTTTGCACTAAAAACTGTCTTTGAATTATTGAGGTTTTAATTATTTCTTTGCCAATTTTAATATTAAAACTTGATGCAAGTTTTCCATTCAAATAAAAATAAGATTAAATACTTGATCTTAACTATGAATGTTTTCTAATTTTCAGCTCCTTGATATCCTAATGGACTAATGACTACAATTAGCTCAGAACATGTTTTTAACTTCTTTTGATAAAACCTTTACAGCTTTGTTTCCATTCTTAAAAACATATGCTGAACAGTACTTTAAGATTTTTAATATTTGTCTGAGAACCCCAGTGCTGGAACGTGTATTTTGCATGTCCTAGTTTTGACATCAGAATTAAGTGACTTTTTACTCTGTAGACTTTATTGTTACATTCACTGAGAGAAGCTGAGGAATGCTCTGTAAAAAGTTGGAGTTAATAGCACACTTAAAAATGCAGAGGAGAGTAAAAAATAGAACCTGTAGTGGTTTTGCATGCACTAGTCAGGAGTAATAAAATAAAGTTTGTGGAAATGCATCTTCAAAAGCAATTTAAAGAGAAAATGATCTTTTTTCCTTTTCCCTCATCTTCTTGTGGCCCAAGGCAAGTAATTCTGCCAGCAGGTAGACTGTCGCTGATCTAAAGATTCAGTAAACTGACAACATGAAATAAAATCTGAGACTTAATTTGGATTAAAACCTCCTACTTCAAGGGATTTTTTTTAAGGCATAAAAGTACACAATATTGTTCTTTTCCCCCAATTTTTTTAGATTTAGAGAAATGTCAAAGTATATTTTATATGTGAGTCCTCCCTTTCTTTGTCACAAAGCTCTCGTAGGCTTCTGTATTTTCAACACAATTCTAATACAGATCATTTGTGTGCACAATTTACTGTGTGATAAATTTAGTTCAGATGAAATGAAAAAAAAATTTTTGCTCAGAAGTTTTAAAAACGTAATTTCTTGCACTTTGCACTCCTGTATTTTTACCAACTGACTGAAAGCAGGATAAGAAAGAAGATAGAGGTGCATCTTTGCACAGCTAAGTGGCTCTTTGCAGTGTTTTTATGGGACTTGTGGATTGCTCCTGACAAGTGAATGTAAGATGCATGATACGTTGAGCTCAGTATATTGTAAAACAATGAAAACAAAAGGGGGGAATGAAGACACATGTCTGTGGGAGGGAAGGTGGAGTATTAGAAGCAAATTTTTTGAAATAGTGGTGATGGTAATAAGCGTTTGAGTCAAATAAGTGTGAAATATTAAAGGAAGCAAACGGGCAAATGCACAAACAGGAAAATGTAGAAGAGGAAAGAACATTTGAATGTGGATTGAGAATAATTGCTATATACTGTACACTTTGATCACGCCTAGTGCTAGATTGCTATAGCATGCTCCTTTTTCCCTTTCTATTTCAGCCTCTTATTAACTCTGCTGTCTGTGTCTTTCCAGTTCCTGTGGAGTGGTGTTGTCAATTGTGTTCTTGTTGGTAGTTTTTTTTTTTTTTTTTCTCACTATTCTGCTCCTATAACTGATCTACTAATTTGCTGTTTTGAACTCAGCCTTTGTCGGAATTATGGGTAACACAAGATCATACAAACTGCTAGACTGGAATAGTTTCAATTCAGGTATTTTACTAGTCATTCAGTACTACATACGCTGACAGAAATTATGGCAGCTCAGTGAAGTTCTTAGAAATGTTGTAGGATATTTAGGTTAATGCTTCAAATTTAAATCTATTTAATCATCAAATGCCTAAATGTCTTGTTTTAATGTTGTTAAAGGCTTTCTTTAAAATTGCAAAACGTTGTTTTATTATAAAATAGTATTGCTAAGGGTAATTTAATATCAATCTGGAAAGCTGAACGTTCAGATGATTATTTTGTAGTAGCTTTCAGCTCAGTGTCCATGAAGCAAGTAATTTAGGGTAAGAGAATGAATTCTTATTTATACAGTTGGGATCGTGTCAGGTGTGAATTTTTTTTTTTTTTTTAAATAATTTTTTGTTGGTTGGTTTGGTTTTTTGGGGGGTGCTGTTTTGTTTTGCTTGAGCTTGCACTTTCTTCAAGGACAGCTGTACTTCTTTTAATTTCAGGAAACTGATGAATGTGTTTCTTCTAACTAGTAGATATAAAAATTGTCCAAGAGAATGAAAAATAGATGAAGGGGACTATCATTTTGAAGAGAAGGGCAGTATGTAGTCTGGTTCCTAAATCTTGTATTGTAAAATGTGATCAGCTTGCAGGACTTGCAGGATAATGATTTGAACTTTTTAATCACTTTTACACTTCAGTTGAAAGAAGCCCCAGTATTCTATTTTGTTATCCATTTTTAGGGATCAAAGTGTGTAACCTCTTTATACAGCTGCAGAGAGAATGGCTGAGTTGATACATAAAAGTTATGTAGAATACTGACCTGTTGGGGGGAGAGATAAAGACTACCTGTCACCCCCTTCTCTCCGCCTTCTCTCTGCAAATGCAGAATGCTTTGGAAGAAAGTCAGACACAACTTCACTGTGTACAATACCCAAGGCAGCAGACCTTGCCAAACTTTGATGTTTTTTAAAGCTGGCACAGTAAAAAGGTATAAAGCTGACCTCTGAAGGTTTGTTTCCCCTGGAAACAAAATTTCCTTCGTGGTACTTCACTGTTGCAGTGCAGCTCTGTGTCATGCTCTAAACAGCAGTTTAAATTATCTCTATGCATTTTTCATTTTACAAATTGTTTAAGAATGTCTGGTGCCTGGACCTGTTGGCTCATTTTTGTATCCTTGTTCCTTGCTCCAGTGAGTGTCCTGTAATACTATAATTGCAAGGTTTTCTGGTTTTGTTGGTTTTATTTGCTTGTTCTAAAGTGATCTTTTGAAATTCATTTTACTTTCTGTATGAGCATGATACTCTGAAATTCTCAGATCTATTACTGGTATAGCATAGGCTGACCCCAGGTGTTAAAAATGGGTCGAAATTTCTCATCTTGTGTGCTACTTTGAAAAGTTTGAATTAATTGTTGCTTCTTCGAGATAGTGTTTAGTAGGATGTTACTGTGGAGGAATTTTATTAGAATAATGGTGTAAATGAGTTACGTACAGACACTAAACAGACATTGAGCTAAGCTGGAAAGTAATCCAGAAACGTAAGCCGAGGAAGCTAAGGGGAAGTAATGAGTTGATTTCTTGACAGAATATCTAAAACAATAGTCTACTTCTTTTTGAAATAGCAGGAAAAAGAAGGCATATCTATCTATAGATTTATATCCAGAGGTGATTGTTACACAAAAATTTTGGAGAGGTCCAAACCAAACAGTAATTTTCGAGTTAATACCTCACGGAGAACTGTCTGTGTTTCTGTTGCCTTGACACATGTCAGTAGGTCTGTTGTAACAGTCTTGATTAATCCTACCAGTTAAGGACTGAGCAGATTATGCTCATATCCGTGGAATTATGGTTTTTTGCAGTGCTAGGTGTGTTGCTGAATGGGGAAGAGAGGAGGAAGAGAGTAGATCAGTCATTACATATGATGTGTGGTGGATAACGGAGTTGCAGATCACATACACGACTGGAATAAGGAATATGCTATGCAGATCAGTTCTTGAGAAACCAAAGGAGAAGATTTCTACTCATCTCCCCATTCTAGAGCTTTATAGCCAACTCTGTCATTGCTGGCTAATAACTGGCCTGAAGGAGAGCAAGGATTTATACAGCATAAGGAGAGCATCTTTGCATTATGTTCATGTTAGCAAGAACGTAATCATAATCATAAGTAGGCTAAAATTATTTTCCTTTTTGAAAATGTTCAGACTTCATTTAAGCTTGCTGGTAACCTGTGTACCATAGAAGAATATTTCTTTTTTTTTTTTTTTTTTTGCCAGTGGCATGGAGGCTTGTTTAATTAAGTGTGTAAGATAGAACAGGACCATCTGACGGTGGTGAAAAGCCAAGCATTTGAAGATGCTTGAAAATCAAACGTGGAAGTAAAGACTGACTTTTATTTGATGAACGGAAAGGAAGCTCCTTAAACATCTGGGAATTGCAAATAGTTCAATGACAGAAATGTTTAACTGTTTGTAAAATTATGAAAGGGTAATGATCAAGATGAATTTGCAAAATAAAAGTAGAGAGACAAATTCATAGAAAGGAGGGCACGTAATACAGTGGAAGAAATATTTCTCTGAAAAGGATGTTAAAGTTGTAATATTAAGTACAAAACCATGAAAGGAATCCTGGATGCAGAAGGCTGGATCTTCGTTATGGTTTCTCCCTGAGTTTAAATACAGAGAAGAAAGGTTCCTTAGGGAGTGCGAGGAACTCAGCGAATAGAGACTGCTTTTGCATGTGACTGTTTCACAGCACTGACATACAGTGTTCCCACAGAATTACATTTTTACGCCTTCTACATTTTACATTTTTAACCTCCTCATTCAGGGAGCTGTTTCGGCAGTGATTCTTCAGCTCCAGTAGTCAGAAATATGGAAGGAGAAAAGATTGTTAATAAAATTCCTAAGGACCTCCTGAGCTCCTCGTGTGATATCCAGACTTGCTGATGGAGGGTGAAATTCTCCAGAACTCTAGCTTTGGACATAAGGAAATGCAAGAAGAGAGCTTGAAGATGTTTTTGTTCTGTAACTGAATGCTTTTGTTTCACAGAAATGCAAATGTAAAATGAATGTGCAAATTACATTTCATACTGCTGTCTGGGGTGTCGATGTGGCATACTTGTAATAACGCAGTAGAAAATGTCAGAATGTTTTTGTTAGCGTCTGAGAGGGTTCAGAACTGGCAGAAAACTAGTAGAAACATTTTAAGCTTGACCTCTTGCCTTTTCTTGGAGAATTTCCATGTTGACTTCTTCTCCATCAGTGTGTGTTGATGGGATAATGGGAGGTTAAGGCAGTTGTCGGAGCCTTTTCTCAACAGTCAGGCAGGTGATGTTTTCCAGTAATGTTTTAATCTACTTTTCTTCAACCTTTCCAGAGGAGTGAATATTCCTAAAAGGTTTTTACGGTTAATGTGAACAGTGTTTGAATATTCTTTTTTTGAAGCAGATGAAATAATTTTCCTTGGGGCTGTGCCAAAAGTAGTATTTATGTAACTGAGAGATTTATGTAACTGAGCAAAGGGTGGTCCCTGTCAGTGATTATGGAATAGTATTCCTATGTTCTAGAAATTCATAAGTTAATGAACTTGGCATTTAAAATCTTTGTTTTAGAATTCTTTGCCTGATAGTAAGTAATGCTATTTAATCTGTTCATATTTATTTCAAAGTCTCCCTGAAATTTGGCCACACAAATGCTTATTGCACCACTACAATTTGCTTTAGAATTGATAGTACCTAAGAGAGAGAGATCTTTGGTCTTGTAGAAAGTTGTTATTCTTGCACGTAACTCTTCCTAATTTCAAAATATGGGGCTTGACTAAAACAGTTATCCTGATATAATTTCCTTCATGGATTACAAAGAGTTTTTTTCAACCTTATGCTGTGGCACTTTGCAAAGATAAAGTCGTAAAACTTCTTGCCTGGTTCCACCTGTATTACTGTTAGAACAAAACTAGAAGGATTCTAGTTGAAAGGACACCTTCCTAACTGCTACAGAATTAAAGGTAAATGCATCCTTGTAAAATGTCTACAGGCAGTGTTGTAGGAAAATAGCAGATAACACTAGTTCTGACTGGCCCTAACAGGATTCTAGAAATAACTCTGGGTGAATGTTAGTGGCTAAGGTCATTATCTGAGCTGAATTAGGCACAAGAGCTTCTCCTTCTCACTACAAAGACTGAAGTTCCTCAATGTGCCATGTTTCTTATAAGGAAATAACATAGTTATTTTTTCTTTTTCTAGTTCAGTTTGTACTTTGGATTCTGTTGGTGCAGCTGGTCTTTGACCTTTTGCACTAATATTTTCAGTGGGTTTTTTTAAGCTTTGAATTTTTTTTTAGGGTTTGAAGCCTCTCATTGAGGTCCTGAACTCACTCCAAAAGGCACTCTAGGAAAGGCTCCTTGGATGCAGAAGCTTAGAGAGGCTTTGCCTGACTAGGTTATCTTCAAACAAAGTGAAGGGTTGTGAGTGGGAATACTCTCTGCTGGGTTAAAAACTGGCTGGAGGGACGGACCCAGAGAGTGGTGGGGAATGGAGTTAAATCCAGCTGGCGTCCAGTCACGAGTGGTGTCCCACAGGGCTGGGTACTGGGGCCAATTCTCTTTAACATCTTTATCAATGATCTGGACGAGGGGATCGAGTGCACCCTCAGTAAGTTCGCAGACGACACCAAGCTGGGTGGGAGTGTTGATCTGCTGGAGGGTAGAGAGGCTCTGCAGAGAGATC